GTGGGGTGTGGAAATCTCCACAGCTGATGTGATTTATTTTGGGTGGTAGATTGAAGATGGAATGAGTTTCAGCTGATCTGTGTAGCCAAACTCTCAGTGATTATAAGGGGAACTAAGCAAATACCTCAGATTCGTATATCTCTTCCTGGATGTCCCCAGTTGGCCAGTAAGGCAGGTATTATGGTGTTTGTTCCTTTCTGTTGGCTAGTAAGCATCTGCAGGATGAGAAGTGTTGGGCTACAAAGGGGTGGGTTCATAGCAGATGTTCTGGGTAAAAGATGAGTGACATGTTGAATGTGCAAACCTTGGTGAGTTGTTGCTGTAGCGCTAACTTGGATGAAGCGTTTTTTGCACCTCAGACCTACTTTTTTGTGGCCCTGAACAGCAAGTGCAGAGAATAAACAGAGTAGATTGTGTTGAGCATGTCAAACTGGACCATACCCTGAATGTATGTGTGTATTCCCGGGTGCTCAGCACGTTTCCGTGGCCTTAGAAAAATAGAGGGCCCATAGATATATATGAACATAGCCCTATGCAGTCATTCGTCTGCCCTAACAGACCATCCCCAGGAGCTGACAGTTTAGGATGTTTAGATAAAGAGGTAGCTCTTCTGTTTGTTGTTTTCCAGCTTTTGGTGATCAGCAGTTTAAGACCTTCCTGCATCAGAAATGTGCATCCAGGCCACAGTGTTTAACAGCCACTGATAGATTTGTCCTTTATTAATTTGCCTGATCCCATTTTGAATCCACCAATGCGATTTGCTTATGCGCATTGTCCTGTTTCTTTTAGACCTTGTTCTCTCCATCTTGTGCCTCCCAGGTCTCAAATTCTGCAAAACTGTGACTAACGAGCCCCCTTTCCCTGCACCACCTCGTGTCTTCCAGACACCTTTCATACCAGCATCTCCAGCCCCATCCCTCTGCCATCCCAAAAGATCCAAATCTACTCCGAAGCAGTGGTTCCCACCTCTTTCATACTCCTGCAGCCTGTACCTCAGCACTTCTGAAAATGAAGCCACTTATTTTTCTGCTTAGGGATATTCATATTCCAAAAAGTTGGCATATGCAGCTGCTAATGATTTTAGCAAGGTTGTCCCACCAGTGTTTTGGATCAGGTGTTGAGATTGTTTGTCAGAGAGAGAGCTGTGCCAAGCCAGATCCAAGTGTGTCTAATATCATGAGTGCAGCTATGTTGCAAAGCAAATGTTCCTGTGGATTTCTTTTAACCTTTGACAGCCAGGATGGAAAGGTCTATTCTCCCAAGTAACAAGCAATAGGACAAGAGGAAACAGCCTCAAGTTGCACCAGGGGAGGTTTAGATTCAATATTAGGAAAAATTTCTTCACTGAAAGGGTTGTGAAGCATTGGCACAGGCTGCCCAGGGCAGTGGTGGGATCACCATCCCTGGAGGTGTTTAAAAGACGGGTAGACATGGTGCTGAGGAACATGGTTTAATGGTGGTTTTTGGCAGTATTCGGTTGATGGTTGGACTTGATGATCTTAAAGGTCCCTTCCAACCTAGAAGATTCTATGAGTAGAGCAGCATTGCCTTAAGATCAGAAGATCCAGAGCAAGAAAATCAGATGCACAGGAAAAAGTGGTATTTAACGGTTAAAAGTGCTCCGGCAGCTGACAGATCCAAAGGTTTCCAGCTGTGGGTGTCTGCCCTGTTCTACCTGCTGTCCTTGAACCCAAGGCTGAGCCATTTCAGCGTCTGATCGGGCAGCATACTGATCAGTCCTGTCCCTAGAGAGCTTTCAGCCTTGCGGACACATTGAGATGTCTCATCAAGGGGTTTGACAGGGGATGGGAACTGTGGTTGGGACAGGAGGGGATGACAAGTTCAGAACCACCAGCTATCAGCCCAGTTTTGCGTCGTCAGTGTTTAATGTGAGTTATTCAGCAGCACAGAAGCGTCATTGCCAGACTGCATGGTTTTCCTATAAGTCTCTTGAGAATAGGTGTCTCCTTGAAGTCACAGGATTTAGTAAAAATCTCTGTTCTTATTCGTATATGTGTTTACATACATGTTTCAGCCTCCTTGAACAAGAAGAAACACAGAAATACACGTCTTAAACATATCTCTCAGCATTTATACCAGTTTGGGGAGAGAATGGGGAGGTTTGGGGTGGTTTTTTTGTTTGTTTGGTTTTTTGTTTGTTTTGGGGTCTTTTTTTTTTTGAAATTTCAGAGGGATAACCAAGAGCTCAGGAAAGCTGAAAACCTGGGTTGAGTTCAGAGCTCTGCCTCAGCCATTCTGCCCGGCTCTGGGCACAGTGCTCGGTGCCTAATCTCTCTTTCGGGGAACTATATTTTATTTTCTGTGCCTGGCCTGGACAGCATACATCCCTCTGGCTGGGAGCTGCTCTACTCTCAGAGCACGGCCAAAGGAGCCTGAGGACTAAGCGTGCGAGGGATGAATCATTTGAAATGCCTGAGGTCAGATTCTACTCCGGCCACTGTAAATCCAGACAAACTCCTCCAGCTTTGGTGGGATCACTCGGGGTTTGCGCAGATATAAATGACAGCAGGATTTGACCCAGAGGTTTTGTGTTGCCAGTGAAAGAGTTGAAATGCGGGATGCTGCCTTAAATGTGGACAGGCCGAACATCTGGAAAGGGATAGCTTTGTTTTGCATTAACGTTAATGCGGTTTTGAAACCAACTCCCACTTCTGAAGGATTTTTAGTGTGGATTTTTTCCAAGGACATGAAAAACTAACTTCTGTTTTACTCAGAATCCCCTTATCAGATCTAGCTATCCGTCTGTGTGTCCATTACCACACCAGCTGCTCAAACATCCACCATTCCTCTCCACAGAAGTACACTGGGAAATTGAATCTGAGTTTACTTGTAAGCTGGATTTCATTAACCCTCATTATGTAGTTTGTAGTACGTCTTGCTCGAGAACTGATTGGCCTTCAACTGGCTTATCTTGCTTACTTTCCAAAGTGAAATTACTTAAAATGAGTGATGGAACCTTAATCCCAAATAACAGTGGTTTTGGGGAGTACAACACAATGTTGTAACCCCCTTTCAGTCTCTGCTTCAGAGGGGTCGAAATGAGCAGCCACCTCCCTCGGTAGACTCTATGACCTACCGGCAGCTTTCCTTCTCATCTTCAGAGCACTGCTGACTTCACAAGGTTTCCTATTCTTTCTTTTGCCTGCCTGTACGATGCATTGATGTTTAGACCTGCTCCACCCATCCAGTATCCCGAGGTTTTGCTTTAGAGATTTATAGTGCCCAGTCTCATCAGCACAGTCAATGTAAGTTAAAAATAAAAAGGATGTTACTTTGTATAAAACCGTACCACAGCCCCTCTTGCTTACCTTAGGCTTTTATGAGTGAGTACTAAGTTCTGCACGTATCCAGAGAGAGGGAACATCTGCTCTCATTGCATTTATAGTCTGATTAATCAAGATAGACAAATATTAGGGAAACAGAGGCAATGAGAAGAGCAGTGATTTATCCCAATTTACTACATTACTTAATTATTTCAGGCTACTGCTTTACAAATACCTTCCATTGAGGAGCCCTATCATGTGTTGTACATGGCTGTTCTGTGCTTTGAACCAGCTTTGGGGTGATCTTATGGATCTCACAGCCCTGACCTCCCAGAGACTCTTCTGCCATAAGTGACAGAGTACCAAGGATGGACTCAAACCTCAAAGGTTTTGCAAGGGTGGTCAGATCCTGCAGGTCAGAGCCTGCAAGGGATGCTTGCCAGTAGACGGTCAAAGTCCACAACTTTCCTTGCCCCCTTCTATGCGGTAAATCACAAAGCATATGGAGGGTATGATCTGCATCGCCCATTCAAATCCAGAGTAGAAAAGAAATGTAGGAGAAGGCTGAGTATACTGCACTTTTGAGGGGGGAAGAAACAGGAAAGGACAAAGGCAGCACCATCCCAGCATAGCTGGGATGGGTACACTGAAATTTCCACCCACTCTTGCCAAACTGACCTGGGAGAAAGTCCCTCGTATTCTGACTTTATCTGGCAGTGGGACTGGTCCTGGATGTCTGAGCAGGACGCACAAGCTGAGTACCCAAGAGGCACATCAGAAGATTAAAGCAGCCGTATTGCATTAGATCAAAGCTCTGTATGCTGTAACAACCAGGCTGTGGCTGCCCCATCCCTGGAGGTGTTCAAGGCCAGGTTGGACGGGGCTTGGAGCAACCTGGGCTGGTGGAAGGTGTCCCTGCCCAGGGCAGATTGGATGCAACTCAATGATCTTCAAGGTCCCTTCCAACCTAAATTGTTCTATGACCTCTGGACACCTTACAGGAGGAGAAGCCTAATCTTCTCAGGATGATGCTCACAGACTCTTTTCCCTGAGCCTTCAGTCTTTGGGGAGCAGATGCTGTCAGCTCACAGCCCTGCCCAAGGCATGTGTTCCTGGATTTAGCTAGGACGCTGATAGAGCCTCATGACACGTGGCCAAGGGCCTGCATGCAGGCATGGAAATAGTACTTTGTTGATGATGGCAGGTTGTGATTCCTAAAGGGAGAGGAGTCTGTACTTTTAACCCCTGGCAGTATCCTCCAAGAGGAGGGTGTCAGGAAACACAACATTGCTTTGCCGTTCCCTGAGTATTATATTTACCTATGTTTCTATGTACTAAAGGGGCCATTTTTTAAAAATACTATGCCAATATTATTTACTGGGATGGTTTTTTTTTTTCCTAGCTGCGTGCCTGAAAGCTGGGGCACACCACCCCAGAAATTGCTGCCTTCCTGCATGCGCATGTGTATGATATGAGCAATTGCAGTGTGCTGCTTCCTCTGTCGCATACTCAGACGATTTCATGTGGCATCTTGTAAGAGGTGTTGCTTGGGACACTAATTGCTGAACGAGCTGAGACACACAGAGCAAGGCTGGTGGAGCAAACTGCTGATCCAAAGGGGATTTTGCATTCAGATCATCTGCATTACCTAGGAAGCCTGTGTCCTGCTGCTCTTACCCTGCTGAGGTTTAACCTCATTTCTCCCCATCACTGCAGGTGGATGCTGATGATGTCATCACCAAAGAGGAGCAGATCTTCCTACTGCTAAAAGCCAAGGCTAAGTGTGAACGACACCTGAAAGCCAAGGTGCCCAAGGTGCATGGTGAGTGTTTCCACAGCAACCCCAGACTGCATGGCTGGGGCTGGACCCCTCCTTGTTCAACCCCAGCCCTTCTCCTCAGCCCTGTGCTCAGAGTGTGTGAGGGAGGCAGCTGAAGACGACCCAACAGACTGCTTTTTTGGGTTTGGAGAGCAAAGGTGTCACAACCTCTTTCTCTTGCTCCAGAACACCAGATGCCAAGGGGTCAGGAGGACACAAGGATCACAGTCATGGGTTTACAGTCCTCACCACTTTACCCAAAACCCAGGCAAAGCATGGGAGATAGCATCAGCCATCAGTTCTCCCAAGATCCTTTGCAGTACCATCAGTGGTATGAGAAACAAAGCATTCTTCCAACACCCCTTCTCTGTTTCCCTGTGGCATACTCTCTCTATATTCTCCTCAAATGGGCCCAAGCTTAGCTAAACCTTTCTTCCACTTCCTTTCTATTTGGGGCTGCAAAATCACTGCCAGATGTAGGGCTGGAGAGAGAAGGAAGGGAGAAAGCTCTCTCATGTGGGTAGAAAAGTCATCATCCCCCATTGGTTTCTTTCATCAATTTCACATGTGTTAATTATTGGCACTGGGGCCGTATGCTGAAGCACCCTACATCCACCCAGCTAGTCCTGGGTGGGCATCCTGTCCTATCTCCCTCTATTGCCTGAGAGAAGGGGACAAGCCAAAATACTTCCCACCTTCACTGTTGCATCTCAGAGATCTCTTTCCCCACCGCTAGCAGTTTGGGAGTACCTGGTGACATCACCTGGCGAAAGGTCCCCAAAGCCAGCTGTGAGATTAGAGCAGAGCTGCCTGCCCACCTGGTGTCCCTCTCCTGCTGGAAATGACAGCAACGGGCCATAAAAGCCCAGCTTTCATTTTATTCCAGGCCTCCGGCTCTACATCAGCCAAAACCTCAAGCCACATCCTCTGTTGCTTCTTTGTCCTGTTCAACCAATGCCCAATTAACACCTCATTAAAAAACATATGTGCAAAGTCATTTCCTTCTGTTGTACTACAGACCACCTGCCTACCTTGGGATCTGGCGATATCAACCAGCTGGTCTTGCTCTCGTACCCTATTTTCAAACTCTTCTCTATGAGAATGACAGCATTTAGTATTGATCTCTCTCTCTCTCTAATTGTCAGCAGCAGTGTCAATAGGGCTGGGGAGATGCATATCACTGACAAGCAGACTTCAGGATCTTTACTGGTGTCAGTTTGATAGAGCAAAGGCATCAAATCACAGGGCTTTGCAAACATGCCCTTGGTCCTGTTTTGGGACCTGGTTCTGTGACTGAGGCCACCACTAGTTCTGTCATTGACTGGAACAGAAAGAAATCTGACTAATTTTCATTTAGATATCTCATGGACCCAAGTCCTGGCTTCAGAAAAAGCTATTCTGAGCAGCTCAGGCAATAAAACTTAGGCTCACTGTTCCATCCTCTATAACAAATCTCTGTCCAGTCCCAAACAGTACAGCAAAGAGGACAAATCATCTTGATGTCAGCACTCACAGCAGTATATTCACAGCTTTAAGGACTCAAGGCAATCATTAACAATAGGTATTTACATCAAATTAATCTGCAAGAGGTACGCTAATCCAAAGGCTGAATGAATTCTGATTTAACCTTTCCCAAGAAATATTTTTTTAAGAGGTTGTGAAGGAATCTCCAGTGGCAGCACCTCCGAAACCCCCCAGAAATTCCCTCTAGCACTTCATAAACCAGACAGTGAGTTGCCAGTCCATCTGTGAGATGGTCTAAAGAGTCAATGGGAGGGTAGAGGATTTTGCAATTTGGAAAAGATCTTCCCACTTTGCAGAAGAGTTACCATCCACAGATTTTTTTTAGACTACAGATGCCCTTGGACACATGAAACGATAATGTCATGGGGTATTTGTGAACAGACTAACTCAGTCTTCATTTTGCAGCATGCTTGCTCCTTCATGCTGCAGGAGTCAAAGGAGATGAGTAGTTTTAGATCCTCTTGTGGGGTGAGAGGTGCCAGAACAAAAGGCTGTAATCTGCTCTGTGTTAGCTTTAATGCAATTAATTGCTTGGCTAAGGCTCAGAAGCTTACTTTTTGCACAAAAGCTTCAGAGCCCAGGGTGAAAAGTGGTTAGGTCCAGTCCTTTCCTCCTTTGATGATATGCAAACTGGGGCCTGGTTTCTATTTCTGCTAATCACTCAAGGACATGTGGGTCTGTCCCCTTCTCAGCCAGATGGAGGACCTTATCCAGTTGCCTCTTCCCTCTCTACAGACCCAAAAGAAAAAGCCTAGGAAAGGGCTACATGGTCTTCACAATTAAGATGCAGCACCCCCCACTTGCAGACTGTATTTATAGGGGCAAAATGATTGTGACTTGGAGCAATATAAATCCTGGGTGGCCATCCCAAGCCTTCAGGCTGTCTCCTGTGATGTCACTCAGAGTATTTCTGAGCAGCACCCAGTTGGGTAGCAGGAGTCGTCTTGTAAGTGCCATGGAGGACTTGGGTTGTGTTACCACCCTGCCAGGTCCCTCATCTCTCTTGTCTTTGGATTTTCAGTGTTGTAGGACAGAGTTGTCCTTCACGATGCATTTGGTTTTTGGCTCTGCATTATGTAGCCTTTTCTGGAAGGAAAACAAGTGATTCCACAGGCAGGCAGAGAGCTGTGTCCAGGTTCATTTGACCCTCTGCTTGATAATAATGGCAGCCCACAGCCTTGATGTGCCACTATATCTATACTGAGTCTACCTGCTGGCAATGCAGGCTGATGCTCCCCACGTCAGATGCACAGAGGACCTCATGTCCTTGCAAGATCTTCCCGATGGCAGCCAGCCATACTCCTTGCTGTCTTGACATCTCCTAGTGCCTCCTGGAAGCCAGGATGGAGGCTCAACCGCTACCCCTGGATTTTATTTCTCTTTTCAGCAGTGTGATGAATAGGTCCCACTCCAAAGGCTGCTACTGCCAGCATAGAACAGACTTATTTTATTGGAGGTGGAGCAAGCCCCACTGAGAAGTATGTTTGCAGACCACAGGGAGCAGCCCACCCCTTGACCTGAAATGATATATTGATCTGGCCGGTATTTAAAGGGAAACAGGCACAAAAGGGAACAGGCACAACCTAGACCCTTTAAAATACTTTTTTTTTTTTTTAAATCTAACAAGAAAACAAAATAAAAAAACCCCCACAACAACAATGAAAGTGACCCTAAAACGAACAAATCAGCCCCGGCTCAAGGTATGCAATGCAGGAGGCAGCACACACTTCTGGTTCAATTTACCTGTGTTACATTTAGTTCCTGGAAGTCTTCTAAATGGGAGAACCTGTCCCCATGTGGTCGATAAATGGCCATGAGAATCATACATGAGACCCTGGAAAGTTTGCTCAATCTGCCCTCTCTGTCCGTAATACAGCAGAGCTACTCCATGGCATCCTGGGGGACTTCAAGGTCAAATGATCTGCCTTGCAAAAGAGGGTAAAGGAGTATGGTTTCACCTGATGTAACAATGGCACAGTGAACTTCAGCTGAAGAAGTCACCCATAAAGCAAAAGCTGTGGTCATTGGGACCATTATGAATTTGAGCCGCGGTTGTCAGAATGGTGGTGATAGTTGCATGCAGCACAGGTGGATTACTGATGGCCTCGAACATCTGAGCTCCTTCTAGAGTTGGTGGACAGAGAAGAACATCTTCTGGGGTGGCATCTGCCTCCCACCTGTCTCCAGATGTCCATCACAGATTAAACCTCGGTTTGCTGATTTAGCTGGACCACTTAACACTTACACTGCAGTAATTGATTATGATGTTATTGATGAGGATGGTGTGATCCCTAGGAGGGTAGCCTAGCACTAAGGTAGCTTTCCTGAACATGTGGAGGGACCTCCATCTTCAGAGGTTTTCAAGAGTTGGGTAGACAAATCCATGCCTGACATGACCTCTTGCTGGGTTTGAAGGCTGAAAGTTGGACAAGAGAAGTTCAGAGGTCCCTTCCAACAAACATTTCTATGATTAGTCCTGCTGAGGGGATTTAGGATTACAAGCCAACAGCATTGAGGCTCCCTGGGGGGATTGTTTCCTCACTGTAGACTTCAAGGCTCAGTTATCAAAGACTGGTGAGGGCCTAACTACAGTGCACCAGGTGCAGAGCCGGACAAGGAAAAAAGGCAAGGTCTGGGTAATTCATCTGTCTTTTACTTTGGAAAAGAAGAGGAACTTTGTGTGTTGCCTCTCTCTTTTTTTCTTCTTTTCTTGTTTCTAGTTATCTTGCATGTTCAAATCTGTGCTTGGTTTGTCATTACAAAGAAGGAAAAAGGACAAGCTGCCACTAAGGCAGCAGTTTGGGGGAGATTATAAGAAAAGCACATCATACAGTCATCAAAGGATGAGACTTCTTCAGCCTTTCTTACGTAGTTGTTTGTGGTGAGGGAAAAGATTCACATTCAGCTCTGCTTGAAGGAATCGAAATCTATGGTATAACTTCCCAGAAACAATGCTTTACTGCCTCACGTGTCAAAGGTGAAAAAGGAGACTGAAATCTCTTCCATTAGTTCTGCTTCACTATGTCTGAAAGTACCAAAACGATGGTCTTTAAGGTCCCTTCCAAGCTAAACCATTCAATGATAAAAAGCACTGGTGCAAGAGCTGGATCTCAGTTGCCCAACCTCATGGTGGCTTCTAGAGTCAGTGTCATTTTGGGACCGTTACAGCAGCCTTCCGTATGGAACAACTCTAACTGTGGGACACCCCTGCAGACATCCCAGTGGGGTAGGATGTTTGGGAAAGGAGAAAGTTCCCACTCAAAACACTTGGCCCGAGTCAACAAGGAGTGGCTTTGGACTTAAGAGTCCCACCTCTCCAGGGAAACTCTTAACCAGAGGTCATAGGAAAAAAAGCCTTTGACCCCATGGTTGTTTTAAAGCTGCTTTGCACTGGGTACTTACTCAAGCTCTACAACAAGTGAAGACTGCTGTGCAGCCTGAGGTCTGGCTTTCACATCTCTGCTCTGGGGTTTTGTCCT